AAGATACATTTGTCATGAATCATAAGGTGCAACACTTAATGATACTCATAGCATTAAGCAATCAAATCATATTAGGAAACAATATCAATATAAATCGTAAGGATACAAGCAACAAAGTTCCAGTCCTGCAGTCATAAGTGGGAGCAGATGGGTGATAGGAATGATGAGAAGACTAATAGGAATAGTAATGCAGCCTTAATGAATAGTTTGACAGTGAGGAGGGAATTAGTTGTTTAGCAGAGTGATGGCATTCGGGAAAAAACTGTCCTTGTGTCTAGTTGTCTTGGTGTGCAGTGTTGAAAACATATGCTAAAAAGATAATTAGAAGTTTAATAAACGCATCTCTTTTGGAAAGCAGAGCGAGTTCTTTAGTAGCTTTGCCAAAAACCGTTCTGTTCCTTAGCGAGCTTTACTGGTTGATTGCTTGCAAAACAAACTGCTGAAGAATCGGAGAGTGAAGAGGTGGGGGAAAAATTTCTCTCTCGATCCACATGAAGGTTTTGACGACTGTTTTCCAGGTTGGGATAATCTTGCACTATTCCACCCTTGCCACCTTGTTATGGATGGGACTCACATCTAGGAACATCTACAAACAAGTCACCAGAAAGGCCAAACGGTGCCAGGATCCTGGGGAACCTCCTCCTCCTCCAAGGCCGATGCTGAGGTGAGAAGCCAGCAGTCCAGCTTGGTTTTATTGCAATCGTCGTAACTCGACTGGACCAAATTTGATGGAGGAGTTGAAATCATGGGGCCAAATTAGAGTTTATCTCAAAAGTCCTAGGATGATGTTGGGGAAATCCAAAGAGTCCATAGGAACGAGCACTACCCTCACTTCATGCTTGCCAAAACACACATTTCTACAGGTCTCCGCTGGTTTTAACATCCAGTGAATATGCTGAAGCTGGAATCAAGGCTTTATTTCTGGATATAGTGTCTTTTGTTCTGTTGGGGAAGGAGAATTCAGAGAAGGAAAAAAAATGGGTTCATTTTTATTTCCCTTCATTATAAGCTCCTTAAGCCAGTGTTTCTCAACCTTGCCGACTTTAAGTCCTGTGGACTTCAACTCCCAGAATCCCCCAGCCAGCACAGGACTTAAAGTCGCCAAGGTTGAGAAACAATGTCTAAGCAAAGCATACAATAAATCATCAGCAAAAGTAAAAGTGCAGGAAAGTTTCTCTATGCTGATCAAAACTCACTTGCTTCTAACGCCTCTGTTTAATCAACTTTAATCAACAATATGTGAAATATTGCTTCATAAGTTCCATATTAAAGGGAAAAACAAATGCAAGCAGGGTAGGTTAATTAATGGCAGTAGACTCGGTAATTAAAGGTGGTTCTGTTTTGAAATTTCTTTTAATCCTTAATTAAGTCAAATACGTATTAATTCAGCAGAGCATATGTCATCATCCCATTCAAGTAAATTTTCTTGATGAAATGCTTGGTGTAAGTAAGATCTTCGCACTAAGGTAGCTTTGAAGCAGACGTAAGACAACCAACCATTTCAAAAAATATAATGTCGTTATTATATTTTTACAGATTCTTTTTCATTTTTCCTTCTTTTTTTTTTTAAAAAAAAGGCTTCTTAAACAAGTTTTTCCTTAGCCTTAACTAATTTGGCCATTATTTAAGAGATTCTTCATTCTTAAAAGAAAAGAAAAATCCAGGAGGCTGGAAGCACCTTTTCTGACCATCAAATTTTATGAAAAGGCTTAGAAGCTTTTCTGTGTAGCAGTTACTTCTTCCGATGCAAAAGATGACTCAGATCTCCCTTAATAAAATCTGTTGGTCAGAAAAGGTGCCACCAAACTCCTGATTTTTTTGTTCCCCTCCTTTCCTGGGGCCTGTCACCTCCTGCCATGTTCCCAGGTCATTTGGCTTCTTTCTGTTTATCTCTTTTCCTGTCTCAAAATCATTTGGAACCACCGTCTTCTGAATAAATACACATTGGATGGTTTCATTCCTTTCCCTGGTAGTAACACAGACCGGTTTCAGGTGCTGTTTTTCTATCCAATAATGTCTTCTGCTTTCTTCCTTTCTCACATCCCTCTTAACAGTAGATTGACGACTCTTAGAATCTCTGCTTCTACTTATCAACTTTCAGTTCATTAATCATTAATTTAATCAGTTCCTCCAAGAACTCTTGCCTTCAGTTGTTTTCCCCGCTTTCAAATCTCATTAATTGTGTCTCACCAGCATTAAATCCCCCTTCAGCCCCTAACTGGGTGAAGATGACAGTTACAACAATTTTATTCTCACAAGGTCTTTGTGTAGTACTGAACTTCCTCTTTTACATAAAGGTTATGTTTCATTTGCTTTGTTCTTAACTGAGATTTATGATAGCGTGGTCTTCATATATATATATAGCCTTTCTTTTTTTCGTTTCTTAATTGCGAATGCTCACCAGAAAGGCAAAATTTAGATACTTGGATATATAAATATTGTCAGCGGATAACTTGGCATCATCTATATGTCATGTATTCTTATTAACTAAAAGGGACGCGGTGGCTCAGTGGCTAAGACGCTGAGCTTGTTCATCAGAAAGGTCGGCAATTGTCCCAGCTTCTGCCAACTTAGCAGTTTGAAAGCACGTGAAAAATGCAAGTGGAAAAACAGGAACCACCTTTGGTGGGAAGGGAACAGCGTTCCATGCACCTTCGGTGTTGAGTCATGCCAGCCACATGACCACGGAGACGTTTTCGGACAGCGCTGGCTCTTCGGCTTTGAAACGGAGATGATCACCACCCCCTAGAGTTGGGAATGACTAGAATATATGTATATGCGAGGGGAACCTTTACCTTATTCTTATTAACTAGATATCTACAGTATGAGAAATAGGTTTTGCTCCATGATAGTTGCATATATAAGCCACGGACATAAATAACAAATAAGGGATATCTCTTTACTGAGAAAGGGAAATTCTTAATGGCAGAAGAGAACATTTGTAAAACTGAGAGGTCTGTGAGTAGACTCTCTTCTCATTCGCCTTCAGAGTGAATTAACATTTGCAGAATGCAAAGGAAAAGCTGCGTACATTTTTTTTTCAGAGACAGGATATCAAATATTTTTAACATGTTGAACTGCATTCTTTTAAATATCGTAAGCTTCTAATGAAATATAAGTGAAGCTATCCAGAGACTTAACATCTCGCTAATAATTATTCATGTCAGCTTATTCTCTGTATACATTTTTATTGCGGGCATGTATGATTTGCTCGCTCTTCCATCTGAAAAAATTCAAAACTACTTTGGATGGATGTGTGAAATAGAAAAACGGTAAGAAACGAAGAGGCCAGGCTAATTTGTCATTTTATCTTGCTCCAGATCACAGCTTCCCATTTTAATATTGCTCTGCCTTATTCGTTAAAATGATTTCTCCCCATCTTTGTCCACAAGGTGGCAGAAGCTGATCAGCTTTCCTCAAAATTGAGTAAAAATATTGTAACACCGTGATTTTAATTGGACTTTATTTCCTGCTCATCTAAAGTGTTCCAATATCTCAGGGGTTGCCATAAAGAAGAGGGGGTCAAACTATTCTCCAAGGTACCTGAGGGTAGGACAAGAAGCAACGGATGTAAATTAATCAAGGAGAAAAGAAACTTAGAACTGAGGAGAAATTTCCTGACAGTGAGAACAATTAAGCAGTGGAATTTATTTGCCTCCAGAAATTGTGAATGCTCCAAGACTGAGGTTTCCTGCCTAAGCAGGGGGTTGGACTAGAAGACCTCCAAGGTCCCTCCCAACTCTATTATTCTATATTCAATGCTATTCTACTCTCTTCTATTCTAATGTAACATAAAAGTAGAAGAAGTAAAATGGATGGGGAGTTTTCCTGAAGGCCCAAGATGCCAAAAGAAATGATCCCTAAACAGGAATACCACAGGTATTCTGACCGAGGCTTCTCAAGAACCTGAAGCAAACTCCTTGTCCCAACAAAAAACCCTTTTATTAATTGACTGTGAATTCTGCTCATTCACTTCCAGCAAAGTCTTTCCAGGGAGGATTTACAGTCACAGAACTTATCTGGCTTGGAGAGCTGCCAGGCCGAGATCTGCAAAACCTGGCCAGGAGTCTGGGAGAGTCAAGCAAACTAATGGTCTCCTGCAAACTCCACTCCCCTTTTGCTCCTCTTTTATTCCCAGTGGGAGGGGCCATTCCCCATCCACCTGTGGCCTTACTCCCAAGTCGGCCCCTGTTCTTTAGTCATTCCCTTCGTCTAACAACTCTGCGCATGCACATACTGGGAACAGGCTCCTGCTGTTCTTCTGCCCCACTGATGTCTGACTCCGAAGGCAGCTGAGAACTGCCAGACAACCCCAAACCCCTCTCTGCCTCCGACACAGAGCCCTCATCAGAGCCTTCCCCAGACTCCAGGACTGGCCCATCTTCCTCCCCAACCTCCTCACAGTCCGAGTCCTCTGCCAGCTCCACTGGCCACTGGTGGGCCACAATACAAGCCACCTCAGAGAGCACCAAAGATTCTTGCATGCCAACCCTGAGCTGCAAATTTTCCCCTTTATTGATATTTCTGGCTATTTCTTAAGCAAACTGATATTTAACACAATCGTCGGCTTCTTGCTTCTTCTTTTTTTAGGTTCTACCTAATTGGTGGAGGAATCCCTGTCATCGTTTGCGGGATAACGGCTGCTGCTAATATAAGAAATTACGGGAGCAAGCCTCACTCAGCATAGTGAGTATTGCGTTGCTGACTTGGTTGGGGGGGGGGGAGGCACAAGGGGGGCTGTGGAGAACCTCCTTGTGTCTGACCTGAAAGAGTTGTAGAGTTAGGGTGTCTCTTTTTCTTGCAGCTGTTGGATGGCGTGGGAACCAAGCTTGGGAGCTTTTTATGGACCTGCCGGCTTCATTATTTTTGTAAACTGCATGTATTTCCTCAGCATTTTTATACAGCTGAAGAGGCACCCTGAACGAAAATTTGAACTCAAGGAGCCCAGCGAAGAGCAGCAGCGCCTGGCCCCCAACGAACACGGCAGCCTGAACAACCAGGACTCGCTCTCCGTGTTGCTACTTTCCACCGTAGCTTTGGAGAATGAGCACAGCTTCCACACTCAACTTCGGGGCGTGAGCCTCACTTTGTTTCTCTACGTGGCTCTGTGGGTTTTGGGGGCCCTCTCCGTGGCTTCCTCTCCCCCTTTGGATTTGGTCTTCAGCTGCTTTTTTGGGCTCCTGTCCTTGTGCCTTAGCAGTTTTTTAATAACCCATCACGGCGTTAACAGAGAAGACGTCCGACATGCTTGGTTGATGTCCTGCTGCCCCGGGAGGAGCGCCTATTCGGTACAGGTCAACGTTCAGCCTTCTTCTGGCGCGAGTGGCCCAAAGGGGGACCCCGCCAAGTGCACCAACAGCAGTGCAGAGTCCTCGTGCACCAACAAGAGTGCGTCGAGTTTAAAAAACTCTTTGCAGGGTTGCAAATTAACCAACATCCAGGTTGCGGCGGCCCAGTGTCCTCTGAGCCTGGTGGCTCCCAGTGCCGGCCCTACTCCCCCTCCTCCTCCCCCTCCCCCTCTGGACAACAGTCTTACCGAACACTCGGTAGACAACGAGATCAAGATGCACGTGGCCCCTTTGGAGATGCCTTTGCGCACCAACGGGCACCCCGGCCGCCATCACAAGAACCGAAGCAAAGGGCACCGCGCCAGCAGGCTGACCGTCCTACGGGAGTACGCGTACGATGTCCCCACCAGCGTGGAAGGAAGCATCCAGAACGGTTTAATTAAGACGCGTCAAACGACGTCCGAAGGACATTCGAGGACCCGGAGAGCATACCTGGCTTACCGGGAACGCCAGTATAACCAGTCCCAGCCGGACAGCAGCGACACTTACAGCACTCTTCAAAAAGGGCACCGGAACACCGATAAAGCGGTGCCGCCTGCTGTTAAAAAAGACCCGCTGAGGAAGCCCATCGCGGTTGAGCTGGAAGGGCAGCAGAAGTCCTACGGCTTAAATTTAGCGGTCCAGAACGGGCCTCTGAAAAGCAGCGCCCAGGATGGGACATTTCTGAGTGCCGACAGCACCGGAAATATCAGGACCGGCTTATGGAAACATGAAACTACTGTGTAGTGCAGGGGTCAGCAACCTTAAACACTCAAAGAGCCATTTGGACCCATTTCCCACAGAAAAGAAAACACAGGGAGCCAGAAAACCTGGGTGGGCGTGGCCCACTCAACGTCACTCACTCCCACCAGGTCACATGACACACACACATGCGTGCGCACACACGGTCATGCCTACCCAGGTTTTGTGGCTCCTGGTGCTGTTGGGATCACGCGACGGAGCCGCAGCAGAGGGACGAAAGAGCCGCATGTGGCTCCGGAGCCACAGCATGCTGACACCCGGCGAAGTGCTACTGAACGGATCCCTAAAAGGGTTTGAAAGGAACACTGGTACTCTGCCCCGAATCATTTTCTGTGGTTGTCCCATGAAGGTATTTTACATGCGGGGGCCCTCGGGAAGGGGGGGGGGGGGCTTGGATCTGCTTTTGGGAAGTACATCAGTGACATTTTTACCATTTTTACATTTTGCTCTTTCGGTTGCCATCTGTTTTGGGATGCCAAACCTGGACAGTTAAATCCTTTTTTTCTTTCCATGTAAGATCGTCCTTTGATACGTCCGATACATTTCATTTTTGTATTTAATTGTGTAAAATAAATAACTTGTTTTAAACTTCTGTCACGTACCAATTGCTGTCCTAAGACTTGTGTCTTTCCCCATTCTGGCCACAAACTCTCCTGCTGGCTAACAATGCCCAGGATTGTATTCCTAGGATCTGACCCCATATCTCTACCTCCAAATGTGCAGCGCAAGTCCTCTTATAGTTTAAACCAGTGGGGCACAACGTGGGAAGCCATTTGATTTTGAATGGGGGCCATTTGAACCTTGTTTCCACCAAGTGAATGGCCTTTTGGGCTTCCTCCGCCTGAGTAGAGTTCACTTTTTGAGCGGAGTAAGAACTGTATGTCACGGGGGGAGGTAGAGATATGGGGTCAGATCCTAGGAGTACAATCCTGGGCATTGTTAGCCAGCAGGAGAG